ATGAATGTTCAAAACCTATAGAAAGAGCTAGATCCTTGAATGCAAGACAAACGGAACACCTAATTATGTCAATCAAAAAAGAATTCTCGCCAGCCAGGCGTGGCTCAGCAGTTGCTAGGATCCAGGAGATCGTGGTTCGATTCCCAGTCAGGGCACATGTCTGGGTTTCGGGCTCGATCCCCAGTCGAGGGTGTGCAAGAGGCAGCCAGTGAATGAGTCTTATTGATGTTTCTGTCTCTCCCACTCCCTTTCTCTCCCTGAAATCAATAAAGATTAGATAGATAGATAGATAGATAGATAGATAGATAGATAGATAGATAGATAGATAGATAGATAATAGATACTTTTAAATTATGCAAAAAGAATTCTCAAGGCAACAGGGAAAAGAAGACAGTAACCTATAAAGGAAATCCCATTAATTATCAGATTTCTTAGCTGAAACTCCACAATCTAGGAGGCAGTAGAATCAAATATTCAAACTACTGAGAAAAATTACCGCTAAGAATAAGATATGCAGCAAAGTTATCCTTTAGATATGAAGGAGAGTAAAGACTTTTACAGACATACAAAGGCTGAGGGAATTATCGCCTGAAGACCTTTATTACAGGACATACTCAAGAGCATTACTGTACCTGAAACAGAACAAAAGGACACACAACTCTGAGTAAGCATCCACAGGCAGGCAGAAGCAGGGTACTACAACCCTTTTCCAGAATCAGGACTACACACTGAAACATCACATAATGGTTAAACGAGGTAAAAACATTTTTAAACAGAGGGAGAAGACAAACATACACAGACAAAAAACCCTGAGAACATGAAGATGCAAATTTTATCAAAAAACAATTCCCATCCATATGCTGCTTTCAAGAGACGCAAATGAGCGGCAAACACAAATACATATTCCATGGGAAATAGTGGAAAATGATTCTCCAAGCAAATGGCATCCAGAGAAAAGCGGGTATTGCCATACGTACATCAAGATAAAAGACAGATGGACACTTTATATTGATCAAGGGGACACTATATCAAGAAGACATATACTTTTCAACATATATGCACCCAATGAGGGATTAACAAAATATATCAATGAACTACTAACAGAACTAAAGAGGGAAACTGATGAAAACGCAATCAAGAGGAGACCTAAATATCTTATTGACAGCTAGAGATACATTGTCCAAATAGAAAATTATTAAAGAAATATCAGCTTTGAATGACACGTTAGATCAAATGGACATAATTGACATGTACTGAGCCTTTCGTCCCCAAAGACCATATTATCTATTCTCCAGTGCACATGGAGCATTTTCAGATAGACCATATGTTGGGGCACAGAAGTGGCCTTAACAAGTTTAAGAATACTAAAATCATATTAACAACTAAAAGATTACTTGATTATACCAATTGTTACCAAAAAGTCATTTTAGAAAATTAACACCCATTCATGATTTTAAAAATAGTGCCAGAAAAATATAGAGAGGAACTTCTCTTCATTACAAGTCAGCTTGATAATGAACAACTACAAAAAAAACCTGCAGCTAACATTATACTCAGGGGGAAGAGATTGAATGTCTCATACCTAAGATTGGAACCAAGGCAAGGATGCTTATTCTCACTTCTTGTTCAGCATTGTACTGGAAGTTTTGCCTGTGGAATACAGCAAGGAAAGCAAAAAAGGCATATAGATCAGAAAGGAAGAAATAAAACTGTCCCTCTTTGGAGATGACATGATTGTCAATATAGAAAAGCCTAGGAATGTACAGATTGAAATATGTCCAGAGACACCTCCAGTGGTTGCCCACAGCACCATCACCAGCTGTTAACTGGGTAGTCATGTGTTCACTTGGACATGTGAGGATGCCTCAGGCAGTATGTGGTCCTCTAGACTGCTGCTCAAGTGTAGTGACATACGGCATGTGAGCTGGTCCATTAGAGCTGTCCTGGCAGTGTGGTAACCTGTGGAGCGAGTTCATTGACTGGGCACTGAATGTGCATCAGTGATGTCAGCAGGGCCAGGATTCTCTGTCAGCTTCAGTCACAGGGGCAGCAGAATGAGCAGTGTCAAGACACAGTGGCCCTACTTTTCCCCATATGCTGACTCCAGTTCCAAACAGCATTATCTTCCCAGGAGGAGTAGTTACAGATGCAAACACAGATTAACTATCTGCCTTAACATGAATTGAAATGGTTTTTAACTCACTGTCTGGCTGAAAGCACTCCTTTGCCCACCTCCACCCAGCCCCAGCTCCCCTTCCCTGTGGCCATCACCACACTGTTGTCTCTCTGTGGGTTGTGCCTATATGTTCTTTGGCTAATTTCTTCACCTTCTTTCATCCAGTCCCCCCCTCTCCCCTCTGATAGCTGTCAGTCTGTTCTGTGTATCTATGCCTCTATTTGTTGTTCCTCAGTTTATTTTGTTCACTAGATTCTACATATAAGTGAGATCATGTGGTATTTGTCTTTCTCTTACTGACTTATTTCACTTAGTATAATACTCTCCAAGTCCATCATGCTGTTGCAAAGAGGAAGGTTTCCATTTTTACAGCCTCATAGTATTCCATTGTGTAAATGTACCACAGCTTTTTTATTTTTTCAATCCTCACCCGAGAATATGTTTGTTGATTTGAGAGAGAAAGGAGGGAAGGGAGGAGAGAGAAAGGTTGCCTCTCATACATGCCCCAACTGAGGAATCCAACCCACAACCTAGATATGTGCCCTGACTAGAAATCCAACCCACAGACTTTCTGATGTAGCATAGGGTACATCACTCCTACCAAACTGGTTCCCACAGCTTTTTATCCACTCAGCTACTGATGGGCACTTGGACTGTTTCCAGATCTTAGCTAATGTAAATAATGCTGCTATGAACATAGGGGTACACATATTCTTTCTGATTGCTGTTTTGGGATTCTTAGGATGTGTTCCCAGAAGTGGGGACGCTGGGTCAAAAGGCAGCTCCATTTTTAATTTTTTGAGGAACCTCCATACTGTTTTCCATAGTGACTGCACCAGCAGTGTACCAGGTTTCCCTTTTCCCCACATCATTGCCAACATTTGTTTGTTGATTTATTGATCGCAGCCGTTCTGACAAGTGTGAGGTAATATATCTCATTATCACTTTAATTTGCATCTCTTTGATGATTATTGACATTGAGCATTTTTTCATTTGTCAAACGGTTCAATTAAAAATTGGACAAAGGGCCTGAATAGATACTTCTCCAAAGAGGACATATGGATGGCCAAAGACTTCTTGAGAAAGGAGCAAAAGCAGTTCAATTGAGTCTTCTCATTATATGGTGCTAGAGCAAATATATCTTCCTACACAAAAAAATATCCTTGACCTAAGCCTTGCATCATACAAAAATTATCTCAAAATGGATCACAGACTTAAATGCAGAATGAAACTTTCTTTAGGATTTAGGACTAGGTGAAGAGTTTTTAAGATTTGACCCAAAAGTTCATTTCATAAAAGGAAAAATTGATAAATTGAACTTCACCAAAATTAAAAATCCTGTAAAGGATGAAAAAAAACAAGTTATAGACAAGATTTTTGCGCAGCACACATTCATCAAAGGAAACATCTAGAATATATAAAGAACTCTTAAAACTCAACTGTTTTTTTAAAAATCCAGTTAGAAAGTGAGAAATGGCATGAATAGACATTTACCAAGGAGACTCTAGAGATGACAGATATGCATGTGGAGATATTCAGCATCATTAGAGAAACACAGAATAAAAGTACATGAGATGTCACTGCACGCCTATCAAATGGCCAAAATAAAAAATAGTTTCAATGCCGAAGGCTGATGAAGATGTAGAGAAACTAGACTTCTAATGTAGTGCTGTTACAAATGTAGAATAGGAAACATTTAGCAGCTTCTTTCAAAACTAAACGTGCTTTGCACCGTGATCCAGCATTTGCACTCTTGGGTATTTAGTCCAAAGAAAGCAACGTTTTTGTTCCCCAGAAAACCTCTACTCACATATTTTATAATAGCTGCATTCATAATAGCCAAAAAGCTGGAAACAACCCAGATGTTCTTTATAGGTCATGGTTGAAGGAACTCTGGTGCATTCACACCATGGAATTGGACTCAGCAATAAGAAGGCGCAAACCATTGATTAGCGCAACAACCTGGTTAAATCTTTAGAGATTTATGGTGAGTGAAAAAAGTCAGTTGCAAAAGGGTACATATTGTATGATTCCACTTATATAACATTCTTGAAATGAGAAAATTACAGAAATGGAGAGTAGAAGGAGTAGAGGGATTTAGGTGTAGATTTTTTTATTTTTAGTTTTTGAGTGGACTTTAGAGAGGGGAAGGGGAGAAGAAACATGGATTGGTTGCCTCCTGTACACACCCTGACCAGGGATCACACTCGCAGCCTGGGTGTGTGCCCTGACCAGGAATGGAACCTGCCACATTTTGGTGCACAGGACGAAGCTCCAACCCACTGAGCTGCTCAGCCAGGGCAGATGTAGATTTTTAAAGGCAACACAAGGGATTCTCATGGTGATGGAACGTTTCTGTGTTTTAACTGTTGATGTCAGTAGCCTGACTCTGATACTGTACTATAGTTTTATGTTAATTGTGGTGAACTGGGCAAAGAGCCCCAGGCGTCTGCATTATTAAAACTATGTGTGACTCATCAGTAAAGTAAATGTCTGTGATATAGGATTAATCCATATCAAGGACCATTTGAAGATACTTTTTTAAAATTAGATAGTATTTTTGACCACTCTGAGCCCTAGGGATTCGTAAGTGCTGCAAAATAAAATAGGAAGGCTAAAGACCAAAGTTTGAATCTAGAAAAGGATTGCCTGATGGAGTTCCAGCCCTGGAACAAATCCACCTAGGACTGCCCAAGCACATGCTGAGAGCGCATGTTGTGTATGCTTAAAAAGAAAGAAAGGTGAGTTTGAGCACCCTGTTCCCTTCACTTTTCACTCAAGTTTACCTTTTACTTCAGGTTTACTTATATTTGTGGCTTTTCAGGTGGAGTACTGCTTCTGGAAAATCCAAAAGGCGATAACAGGTTAGACCTTCCAAAGCTGAAGACTGTTGTCACCAGCATTTTTGGTGTGAAAAGTACAGAGCTTGCTGTCTTCTGTGGTGAAGCAGGTATGTGGAAAGTTGTAAGGTTTCCATGGCCTTTGAACAAAGGTAGATTGTTAAAGGTGTTAATTTGGTATCATTTATGCTGTATAGCCTCTGCCTTTCTACTGACTCTGTGGGTCAGGCTGGGCTCTTCAGCTGGTCCCGCCTGTTCAATAGGCCAGAAAGGGCACCACACTTATTAGGAGATGAAAGCTCCCATCCTACCCTCTCACCTATGAGCCATGTGATGAATTCTGAGCTTCAAAGACTTCCCTGGTGAGTTTTAACATTCTTAAAAATAGTGTCTGCGTCTTGCTAAATCCATAGTCTCAATAAGATAGGCCTAAATAATTTTTTAATTGTAAGTACATTCTCTCCCACTGTTAACGGGTTGAAATGTGAGACGCACCCACCCCCAAAAAAGAAAAAAGATGTTGAAATAAAAAAAAGATACGTTGAAGTCTTTGCCCGTTCTACCACAAACCTTTGGAAATAGGGTCATTACAGATGTAATTAAGATGAAGTGCAGTGTGCCCTACTACAATATGACTGATGTCCTTATAAGAAGACGGTGAAGACACTGACGCTATGTGATGACAGGCATAGATTGGAATTACGCAGGTGCAAGCTAAGAAACACCAGAGATTGCTTGGGACCTTCTGAAGCTAGGAAGAGGAAGGGGAGGGTTCCCCTACAGGCATCAGAGGAAGTGAGGTCCTACTGACACTTGATCTCAGGCTTCTTGCCTCCAAAACTGTGAGACAATAAATTTCTGTCATTTTAAGCCCCCTAGTTTATGATTCTTGGCAGCAGCTGTAGGAAACTAATAGACTCATTTTATCAATTGGAATGCCTATTTTCAGAAACTTTTAAATAACCTAAAAGAGAAAATCTAAATGGTCAGTAAATAAAGGAATACCTGCTCGACCTCAGTAGTAAAAACCACAATGAGATGCTATTACTTGACACCAGATTGGCAAAAACTAGAAAATTTTCACAGCATTAAATGTTGTCAAGTGTATTGTGTAATAGGAACTCCCATTCACTGCTGGACTGTAAATGGGTAGAACTACCGTGGAAAACCATATGCCATCCTATCAGTTAAGAACTGATAAAAGGAAGCAAAAGTGATGTGAGAGAAAGCCAAAAAGTAAAGGTCTGGGTGAGGGCAGTTAGTTAGGTCCTAACACTGGCAGTCAGGACCTGCAGAAGAAGCTTTGCAAGAGAGTTGCTCATGCACCTAGCCAGAAATTGGAAGAGCACAGGAGTGTGAGCTACTTATTGTCCCCTCCAACCCTGTGAGTGGCAGCTCGTGAAAGCTGAGTTTTGCATGGGCCCCACATTGACCTTTTGAGCATAGTGGCTGTAAATAAATTGCCTTCCAAATCCTGTGCACCTTTCTCTGGTCAGCCCTAACCCAAACCAGGGCAGTCAGAAAGTTCTGGGAAACTTTTAGCTTGGTAGAGTTAAACCTCTATAGTCCACCCCTTGAGGTACCTAACTTCCAGGTAGGACCATCATAAATTAGAAATCATGTACTCAACTATCTCTGTACAACTGAAAACATGCTAACCCTGTTACCGGAAACTGACATAGAAAGTTGCTGATATTATGCTGTATAGTAAGAGAGTGGAAAAAAATAAAATTGGTTAATATATACACAGAAATATTAACAAAATAAGAAAGAAGTCATAACTGTTACAGCCTCAGTTCCGTAGCTAATCACATGGCCAAAGCTTCCATCTGTCGTGCACCTTATGTGGGTCTCTGATTTAGAGCAGGGGTCGGCAAACTTTTTCAAAGCAAATGTAGTGCCCTGGGTGGTATGGCTCAGTTGGTTGAGCATCATGTGATGCACCAAAAGGTTGCTGGTTCGGGTCCAGCAGGGCGCACATCAGTCCCCAGTAGGGGGCATGCAGCCCGAGGCAGCTGATCAATGCTTGCTTCACATTGATGTTTTTCTCCTTCCCTCTCTCTCCCTCCCTTTTTCTCTAAAATCAATAAATACATTATTTTTTTAAAGTAAATATTTTCGACTAAGAGCTCTTAATTGTCATTGAGGTGCAAAAGCAGCCGTAAGGATATGTTTGGGGTTTGTTTTGTTTTTTGTTTGTTTTTATGTTTAAAAAATGGGCAAGGCAGTGTTTCATTAAAACTTTATTTACATAAACAGGCAACCAGCCAGGGGCCATGGTCTGCATATCCTGGTTTAAAGCATAAATGGTATCTGCAAATACAGTATCTCAGCCCTGCCAGCGGTGCCACCCAGGTGGCCTGAAACTGAGTCTTTGAAAGGGCATTCCACCGCTGTTCTAGACCTGCTGCTTCATGGTGATGGGAACATAGAATGGCCAGTGAATTCCCTGAACACTCACACACCTCCCATATCTCATTTGCTGAAAAATGAGTTCTTTGTTGAGAAGCAGTGCCAAGTGAGATGTCATACTGGTGAATAAGACATTCCTGAGTCCGTGGATGGCAGGTCTGACAGAAGCATTGCAGGCAACAAAGACTAACCCACACCCAAAATAAATGCCTCTTCTAGTAATAACAAAGCACTGCCTTTCCTATGATGGAAGTTGCCCAGTAACCAGTCTGCCATCAGGTACTTCCCTCACCCCCTGGCAATAATGCTATATTGGGAATTTCATTATGGCCCTGCTGCTGGTGGGTGAGCTACACTATCAACTAGCAAAGAGAGGAAATCGTGTTGCTGAGCCCATGTGTAATAGCCCGCCCACCCTGGATGGCCCCTTTGTTCATCAGTCCATTGGTCATGGATAGGAGTGGCTTGGGAAAGGCTGGCTGACTTTTACAAAACGGGTAATATTGTCCACCTGATTTTTACGCTCCCCATTCACAGTGCCCATTTGGAGCAGTCCACATAACCTTTGCCATGACTTCCTTGTCGCTATTTTTTCAGTTCTGTTCTTTCCAAGTCCCTGGTCATTCCTGATCAGCCAAACCATTAACTACTGCCCATGGGTAAGTGTAGGTCCATTCCTCTGGCCATCTCACCTGAGTGAAATAAACAACCAACTGCCCTGAATGAAGTTGTATTCATTGAGTGGATTCCTGTCCACACTGTTATTCAGGGCCTCCCAGTCAGTGGGGGTGTGGAACCCACACAGCAGACGTGAAATATTTTCTTTCTGTCAACTGGTAAATTCTTAGAAAGCCACAGGTATGGGTCAAGAGAAGAGACCATGTGGCCCCAGGCTGGTCTTGGGCATCTCGCCACTAGGTGGTACAGGTCTCTTAATCCTTGAGGGTCTCTCCCAGCCTGGTTTCGTTCCTACCACTCCATTCCCCTGTCCCAGTCACAGCCACTACCAGTCATTCACCTATGTTTACATCACTAAACAATGTCTAATTTCATGTAAATAAAATGATACTACATGTGTTTTGTGTATCTTGCTATTTTCCACATATGTTCATGAGTCAAATAACTTCTGTAATTATCATTTTTAAATATAAGGCTCTTTTCATGGTGAAGTTTGGGATTCTGTTATAGGAGGAAGTCTTAAGAGTGCTATAGTATACAGTTGACCCTTCAACAGTGTGGGTTTTATGGACACTGACCCCCCCCTCCCCCACTTCCCCACCAGTCTGGTCAAAAATCTGGGTATTATTTGACTGTACAGTCAGTCCTTCACATTCACAGACTGAACCAACTATGGATGGAAAACAATATTTTCCATCTGTGGTTGGGAACTCAATACTGTTTTTGATCCTTGGTTACAAAACCTGTGAATACAAATGGCCAACTGTATTGAAAAAATCTGCATATAAGTTGACTCACACAGTTCAAGAGTCAACCCATGTTCAAGAGTCAACTATACAGAGAAAAAAACTGAAGGGAGACAAAACAGTTTGCGTATATTTTAGGTTGGAATATTATGCCATTTATTTTGCACTGATAACATTTTCTGTTTGCATGTGATTTTATAGAACAGGCAGTATCCTTTCATAAACAGTGGAAAGTATCACTAAAGGGGTGTGTGTGTGTGTGTGTGTGTGTGGTAGTGTAAGAGTTAAATAACAAAAAGTGAATGACTTCTGCTCTAAACTGTGTACCCCTGAAAAAATGGTACCCTCTTACTATTTTTTTTGTTATTTTTAGAAATACAAAACCAAACGGACTTACTAAGCCTTAGTGGAAAAACACTGAGTGTGACTGCAGGATCAGCTCCCTCTCTGATAGACAGTCCCAGTACTCTTCTCTGTCAGTATATCAACCTACAACTCCTGGACGCAAACCCACAAGGTACATCCCTCCCCTAGCTGTAAACACCCTCAGCAGGTGGGTTGTGGGGTGTTGGGCAGTGGGTTTCTTTAATGTTCAACCTCTGTGGCCTATGTGGATCTTTCACATTGGCTTTACTGTAGTAGTTTGAGTGTGGATTCCCACCCTGCTTTAGGGAGCACACACAGGCTTGTTTTTTTGGTATATTTATGTAGATACACCCTCATCCATTTGACGTGGTAAGGACATGAGATAAATTGGTTAGGTAAAAGTTACAGCTAAATGAAGCTGAATTATTTAAATGCCAAAACATTTTAATTTAGCCTTTTTTTTTTTCTTGGAAAATTTTGAAAATCGTTACTTACTTTTCCTGTTATTTTGGCGCCCTCGTTGTACACATTTGTTACTGAAGCCTTCAGGCTCTCATTAGACTGCTGACTGAATGTCTCTTTTCCAAGCTGCAGGGTTTTTTATACTGAATGGTTTTCCTTTTTCTCCTTCCCCTTTTCCTCTGGGGTGTTTAAGGCTGTTTGTGCAAACTGAGCAGCTGTCCCACTCACACTGACCTCACTGCTAACTTCCTTAGCCTTCAGCAGTCAGCGCCTCCACTGGGGATACAGCAGCTAGAGAGTGTGAGCTCTCAGGACTTAACCCAGTTTGTTCTTTCCTCTGTAGAGTGTTTAAGGGGAACAGTGGGCACTCTCCTGCTTGAAAACCCGTTCGGGCAGAATGGACTCACCTATGAAGGTCTTCTGTATGAAGCAGCCAAGGTGTTTGGCCTTCGCAGTAGGAAGCTAAAGCTGTTTCTGAATGAGACTCAAGTGGATGGTGAGGAGATTGTAGAACATGTTAAATCTTTGTTTTAATTTTCTTTTGTTGAAAGTAGATTTGATACCAGTCACCAATCCCAGATTATATGTGAGAGACAGTACTGTTGTCTTTCTGGGTTTTTTTCTCTAACATTTTTTTAAGTGATATTTAAAAGGGTGATTGCTTTTTGCTTTTAAACTAATCTAAAAATTGTATCGATATGTTGTTAAAAACACGGAGGCAAAAGTAGTTCATAGTTGTGAGTACATGGAAGGGTTTATTTTCTTGTATTATATCATTCATTTTCCTTAGAAACAACTAAACCTGCTTTTGCCCCACCCTGTACATGCTTCGAGAAAAATTAGCATATTTGCTGATTCTACATTGTTCTCTTCCCCAAAAATCAAAATGACCACAGTATTGTAAAATAACAGTATGAAGGAGACTTATAACATCATACCACCACCTCTACAGCTTATAAAGCAGGCTTATATGCGTTTTCTCAATGAGCTGCATAAAAATGAAGATCTAGGTTGTGAGTCAACACATTCCCACCCAGTGATTCAGAGAACAGATTCCGGATGGAGGTTTGCACAGCGCATAGGCCAGTCTTCAGGGTCCTGTTTCCCTTCTCTCTTCATCCTTGCCTGCGGTTCCAGCTCCCGTGGCTATTCTGACGACTTCTCTGTTGACGTTTTAGCCTCCCCTCTAAGTTCTGGTTTGTAGCCCATTAAACATCAGACATCATTTCCCTAAACTGCTTCCAGTGGGATCTGGTTTGTTTTTATTTTGTTCTTTGGGGTTTTTTATAATCATCCTTGTCATCCCAACTCAAAACCTTTCACCACTCTATTCTTTAATTTATACAGCCTTGGAGCTGGAGATTTATTGGACTTTGTGAATTAGGATCTGTGTTGTGTGTTCTAGCACTGGTGGAAAACTGTCAGACATTATCTTTCTCTCTTACGTTTGATTTTTCTGCAGGTTGAATATTATATGCCTAGGTAAAGATTTTTTGGTATGAGGCATTTTCCATTTCTGTTACACTGTTTTGGTTTCTAAAATTTCCTTTTAATTCTTTCTTGGTTTCTCTCTCTCTCTCTGCTTATATTGCCCATCTATTCTTGCATGTTTTCCATTCTTCCCAATAGAGTTCTAGCCTGTTAATTCTATTTTTTTTTAAGTTTTTTAGAGAAAGGGAGGGA